CAGCGATGGCTCTTCGGCTTTGAAGCAGAGATGAGCATAGCCCCCGAGCGTAGGGTGACCAGACGTCCCGCAGTTGGCGGTACAGGCACGCATTATAACCATTTTTCCCGCATCCCGCCCGCTTCTCAAAAAACCCCGCTTGATTTTGGCACTCGCTGGCTCCCCCGCCCATCAGCTGCCGCTAGCTCGCTCGTTATTTCCCCATCTATTTTTAAAAATCTAAGCCAGCCCAGCCTGCCGCTCACTGATTGGCCTGGACTCCAGCCAATCAGTGAGCTGGCTGGGATGGAAAACTTCCCATGCGTGCTTAAAGTTTTCCATCCCAGCCAGCTCACTGATTGGCTGGAGTCCAGGCCAATCAGTGAGCGGCAGGCTGGGCTGGCTTAGATTTTTATAAATAAATGGGGAAATAACGAGCGAGCTAGCGGCAGCTGATGGGCGGGGGAGCCAGCGAGTGCCAAAATCAAGCGGGGTTTTTTGAGAAGCGGGCGGGATGCGGGAAAAATGATGAAAATGCGTGCCTGTCCCGCCAAATGCAGGACGTCTGGTCACCCTACGCTACTGGTTCTCCAGAACTTGTCAGAACCTGCTGAATACCACTTCTGGATTATAGCTATAACCAATTGGGGTCCCAATCATGTACCCCAATTTGATTCCACCCTGTAACAAGATTGGCTGGAAACTTGCATTTAAAACCTCAGCTAAGCCCAAAAAAAGCTTGCCAGAAAACATCTCATACTAAATATAAAGCAATTAAGTAAAGCAACATTTCTTTATTTTTCTACAGTACAGAAGAATATGTACCTGCAATTGATCTCCACGTTGTTCCATAGATTGCTGCATGCTTTCTAATGTACTCTCCAACTTCCACAAATCTTCTTGCACAGCAGGAGACAGGCCACCTTCGATTTGTAACTCTTTACTGTGGGTAATCTGCTGTTGTACATCTTGCCTTTTTGCATGAAGCCTTTTTGACTTTTGCTAAAAACAAACATTTAAAAGTATTATAGTCAATACAGATGCATTGTCTTAATGCAAAAGTAATTGCACTATAAGCATATGCAAACGTGCCCATACACCTTGGCAACTTTAAGACTTGTGGACTTCAATTCCCAGAACTAACTTCAACTACCAGCTTTGCTGGCTTGAGGAATTCTGTAAGTTGAACTCCACAAGTCTTAAAGTTGCCAAGATTGGAGACCCGTTTTAGGGAACAAGCGTTAAATGATCTCTGCTCATTTATTGAAAAGTACAGTTCATCTATCATTTTCAAAACTTTTCAGAAGTATAGATTTAGAACAATGGTAAAATTCTCCATTTTTTTAAAGGTCACATTTGACATCTGAATTGTTATGGGGAATACAAAAGCAAATCTGATTGAGCCTTTCTTAGTATTTTACTTGTTCAATAAGGCTTACTTCTGTGCGGTTATCACATCTGCAAGTAAAACAGCCAGCAGCCCCTTGTCAGATTCCTTGTAAGGTGAGGAGGGAGATATTGTTAATTTAGGCATCTATTTAGTAAAATCATTTGGATCTGCTCAGAGGTAGACTCCATGCAGCCAGATTCTACCAAAATGATTGGAATGCAATCTTCTCTAGTTATCTAGGAAGAGCTTTAACAAGTTGATCCTGAAAAATTAGACATGGTTCTTGGTGCTGTGTGTTCCATCACCTATGTTTTAGATTCATGTCCCTTGTGGTTGGTTAAGTTGTCTTGGGAGATGGCATCTAGTTGGGCTCAAGCAGTTGTTGTTTTTTTTTGTAGAAAGGAATGCTTTCATCTGCCTTGAAGGAGATAGTGGTCCATCATAGATCCAACAGTATTAGCTACCCAATCTCTGCCCAGTCTCTAATCCTTCCTTTTTAGAGAATTTTGTTGGGAAAAAATGGTAAGTACATAGGTTCAAAGCCTGAAAGATCAGGAGCATTTTTATCTTTAATTTTCCATGACGTAACACTATCCCGAACTGACCTCGTCCAGAATCTAAGTGTCCTCGTGATTCCTGCTCAAAGAGAAGGTGGCAGCCATGACTTTTGCATAAATCATCTTCTGTCCCCTTAACCAGTTAACCAAACTGAAACTTAGCAGGCAATATCTTGGGTTCAGAAGACAGGTCAGAAAGTTTCTATTATAGGGAGGAGGGCTGAAAGGGGATGAAGGATTTAAGTCATAAACATCATCTGCCTCTTTCCATACCTTCATAAACATCTGCTGCCTCTTTCCATACCTTCTTTATCTGCATGTGACTACTGATAAATTAAACAGAGAGGCCACTTTCTACTCTCCTGCTCCTTACTCCAGGAGCATCTTATTCTCTTACAGTTCCCCTTTCCTTCCTCAAGGCCAGTCTAGCAGCTGTTGCCATAGAAATGTCAGAGAAACCTTGGTGAGAAAATACTTTCAAGCAATCTATTGCCATTGTATTATATTAAGCATGGTCTGAGAAATATGCTACCACAAACAGCATTATCATATAGTTTGCCAAGATGATGGTAGTTCCTAATTTCATCTTGAATAAATTGTGAAAAGGCCCCTAGAAGTGCCTTTTCTTATTAGAAGAATAACGACGAGAATAGAGTGGGAAGAGAAAAGGAATAACAAAACGGCACTTTGCCAAAGTACACTTCAAAAATGTTTACACTTTCTCTTTTAAAATAAATATTAAATGATCACCTCCAACATTTTATGACAGAAAATTATGAAATCCCCTCTTTCCAATTCAACCTGTATGAAAAGGGGTTCTTAATTATTATCTGCAGTAGGCAAATGGAATAACCTACTCAAGAATATATGTTGTTTTGGAGGGGATAAGGGCACAATCTCCACATCTTTTCTATATTCAGTTTTGGGCTCCACGATGTAGAAAAGATGTGGAGACTCTAGAAAGAGTGCAGAGAAGAGCAACAAAGATGATTAGAGGACTGGAGACTAAAACATATGAAGAACGGTTGCAGGAACTGGGTATGTCTAGTTTAATGAAAAGAAGGTCTAGGGGAGACATGATAGCAGTCTTCCTATATCTCAGGGTTTGCCACAAAGAAGAGGGAGTCAAACTATTCTCCAAGGCACCTGAGGGTAGAACAAAAAGCAATGGATGGAAACTAGTCAAGGAGAGAAGCAACCTAGAACTGAGGAGAAATTTCCTGACAATTAGAACAATTAATCAGTGGGACAGCTTGCCTCCAGAAGTTGTGAATGCCCCAACACTGGAAGTCTTTAAGATGTTGGATAGTCATTTGTCTGAAACGGTATAGGATTTCCTGCCTAGGCAGGGGGTTGAACTAGAAGACCTCCAAGGTCCCTTCCAACTTGCTATTGTATTGTATCTATTGTATATCTTTTAGTTGTTATAGAAGAAATATAAGAAAAAAAATTTCTTGGGGGGTGCACTGTAATATTTGTATCTTTTTCCTTTTTTGTATTTAGATTTATATGTATTATGTTCATTATTTGTATTCAAAATAAAAAAGTATTATTTTTTTTTAAAAAAAGTATTATCTACAATTCAGATGTTAATCTTTGCAGCAACAATAATATATGAGGACTTGTTGGACATTCAGTGAAAGCCGATGTGTGGGCAATTGTACCTGATGGTAGAGAAAGATTTGCTGGGCCTGTAACAAGTTATCAACATCTAAGATTTTTTCAACTTCTGTCTGAGCTTCTTTTGAGTTTGTGATCAGTTCTTCTAATGTGCCTTTCACTTCTTCAGTGTATTGAACACAATCTCCAACCGCACCCAATGTCTTCTCAATCTGTATTCAGAAACCATATTAAAGCTCGAAAAATATTCAGTGCCAAATAATTAGAACTTATGATTTAAACAGTTCAAAATGCATAATCAATCAATTCATTTTGTTGTTTCTATATTATTTTCCAATTATCTGAAAATAGTAAAAAAAAAACTCTTACTATAATCTATAAATACATTTCTACTATTCCACTGCATTCTATTATTACTTTGTGAGTTTACTTTGTGCTACCTGACCTGCTTTCCGGATTAATTTGGAAATTTTTACAACTAATTGTAGAATTGGCCATAATAGTTGCCAAACATTTTTTTTCCTATTCTATGTTCCCAATACCATACTCATTTTCTTAAAATAAATGTTTTTGTGATCAAAACAACCCTTACTATTCAGCAAACAGCAAACACCAGCAGAACTTTTCAGAAATACAAAACTATTTAGGAAAAAATCTCTCAAAGCAAATATGAATAATTCAAAAAGAGAAACTGACATGTTATCAATAGCACAAGTGAATATAAGATGGAGAAAGGGGAGCAGGAGGAAGGAAAATTGCTAATGTGAAGAATAGTATGAATTTTGATTTTTTTTCTCCATAGTGCCACAACTGTGTTTGTTTTTATGCATACAGCATACTATACGCATTCAGCATAAAAACTTATGTGATTACATGCTTGCATCAAACATTATATTAAGAAAAGGTTCCCGCCAATCTTTCATATGAAAACTCTATAATTTGAGTAGAAAATACATTTAAGAAAACATATACAATATATTCATCTAAGAACAAAAGTTGTGGCTCTCATGTGTTTACACATGTACATATATGTTGAAATATGATTTCAAATGACACATGGAAATTCAGGGAACTACTTTCACTTATCATTAGCAATGCAATTACATACTATATAACTCTACAATAATTATGTTATTTTTTTATTAATAGTATTCAAATGCACCTAGATATTGGAAAAAATACTGATTATTGTTGATTATAGTAACATTCAGACTATATTGCTAAAATACAACAGAATCCTACTGATTTTCTATAACGGAACACATAATAGAAAAAAGGACAGCTTCTGGAATGAATATAATATAATTATAATATACCTCTGTCAACAAGGCTAAAATTTTCTTAAAATCACTAGCAAGCACTGAAAGTTCATCCCCTTGTTTTTTTACTTCATTCTCAGAAGAAACCTCAGATAAGGCAACAAGCCTAGATTTCAACCAGATGATAGTTTCTCCCTTCTTGCAGGCATCTTGCCTAATTTCCTGAAAAAGAATCAATATAAAAATTAGATGCACCAGACAAGCATTATTAAAGTAGAAGTCTAAGAGAACTGGGTTTACATTAGTTTGCATGGTTAAGTCAACAAAGACTGTATCAAGACACAAGCGTCTTATCAAACAATTTATAAAACATTGCTATAGATTAAAAAAGCCAATTATGATACTAAATTAATAGGATGAATGAGTGGTATATACACGTCAGAGGTGGGTTGCTCCTGGTTTGGCCAAACTGGTAGTGGAATTCAGGCCTGGGTCACAGAACTGGCAGTGACCCAGGCCTGCCACGCCCCCGAACTGGTTCCCTCACCACCACTGGGCTATTGCCATTTTGGATTTTAGTGACTGTGCATGCGCAGTTTAGTGTCAATTGTTTTGTGCATGCACGAAGAACAATTTACATTGAAAAGTGCACGTTTGCAAGTGGGTAGTAAAACCGGCAGCAAACCACCCGATACACGTGGATAGTCACAAGCCAATATGCTCAAGCATAAAAATTGCTTGAGGATCCCTCTACCATGTAAATCACATTGTGACATCAATGAAAAACTATTCAATCAAAATAATAACACAACTCTACGTGTTTACAGAAATGTAGCTTTTCTGCATAGAGAAATCTATGCAGGAAGTCTTTTTTGATTCAGATAGTAATACTATTTGGACAAGTGGCTGCCTGTATGCTGATCCCACAGCTTGGACTATAGAGAATAGACTGCTTCTCCACTGTACACATAGTGAGTCCTTCTATGTATTGCCTGAATAGGGTGAAGTATCTTTCATATCATTCTTTAGCAAATAAAAATTTGAAGATCAATTTACATTGTCAATATACATATTAGGTATTATTTTCTTCTGCCTGCTTTTGCAATTAAAAAAATCTAATTACTTGAAAAAATGCTATCATTGGTAATGTCCCCCTAATTTTTGCTTTTGCATGTAACTTTTCCTTGCATACATTTCCAACAATAGAATTAATGCAATAGATATAACTTCTCCATGCAATCAGTGGAACGACTTGCCTCCAAAAGTTGTGGATGCTCCATCACTGGAGGTTTTAAGAAGAGATTGGATAACCATTTGTCTGAAATGGTATAGGGTTTCATGTAGGCGGTTTGGACTAGAAGACCTCCAAAGTTCCTTCTAAGTCTTGTCATTCTCTTATTCTGTTTTTCATACAGTATGTTTGCATACACATNTGATTTTTTTCATGAAAAAAGTGTGCCTTTGCACAAAAAGGTTGAAAAACACTGATCTAGGTAATAAGTCTGTTTGCCATTCTACTCATATAATTTTTCCCAGTTGCTTTTCCATCTGCTAATAGTCCTGGTATTTCCCGGTTGTTTCCCCACTATGTACTACCGTATTTCCATGAAAATATGACAGGATCTTATTTTCTTTTGACCCACAAAATAAGCGCTTGGCCTTATTTTCAGAAAAGTCTTATTATTTTTGAGGTGCAGGAAGCTCCTTAACCTCGGCCCGCGGATAAGCTGATCTAGAGAGGGCTGGAAGTTCTGTCTCTGTTTCTGGCACACTCTTGCCAGCCCTAGTGTCCCTGGCCCTGCTGCTCTTTCTGCAGCCTCCACTAAGAGAAGGGGCACAGTAGCTAGGGTTTGCAGGAGCAGCCTCAGCGAGGCCATTCCGCGTAAATAGCGTGCATGTGGGGTGCGTGGGGCATGTTCCCCTCCTCCCCCCACGAAATGGCAGGAACTGGCTGCGCATGTGGTTAAATATTTTAGGGGAGGTCTTATTTTTGGGAAAATGGGGTATCAAAATATGACTTCAAAAGCTTTTGTCAAATTAGCCAAGTTTGCTTGGTGTTATACCTTAGCTAGGTTTTATATGCAAATACTACTTACAGTTCAAACAACCATTGTAAAATAGCTTCTAAAGTTTAATTATTAAACTGTCTGATAATTGGATTATTACTAATATTTTAGATTATTCCCCAGCCTTAAGAATAAAATAACTGTGCAAGAGCCATGTGAGAATGGCCTATAGTGTGTTTTCTCTTTTAAACATCGGTCTTTCCTTATTTGAATAGTTCAAAGGTACATTTTGTCCAACATTCTTTCTCACAGTAGTTAATGAAGTCTTATGAGAATTCCACTTCATTTCATTTCATTTCATTTATTAAAATTTATAGGCCGCCCTTTTCCCTGAGGGGACTCAGGGCGGCTTACAATCACAAGGGAGGGANTACATACATACATACATACATACATACATACATACATACATGTACCCAGCATCCCAAAATGTCACTTCTTTTTTGTGCAATGCTATTCATTCAGAAACTATTACCACTAGTGCTGCAGGGTGAGACTGGGAAATATTTTGGTAGATTGTGCCAATATATTTTTGTGGTATGTTTTTTCTATTGTAAAGTATGTGAAACATGTATGTACTTATCATTCTAATGACATTTATTGGTACAAATTTGTCTTGAAATAACCAATGGTTTTTCAAAAGCTTCTGAATTACATTGTACACTTCTTTCTAAAGGGTAGAATTTTTAACCAGTGTTACTTGATTTTATTTATGCTGGCAATTCCAGTTCCTTTTACATTTCACTATTTCTATAACATTATTTACATTTGTTGTAAATTATTTGACCTAACTTTAAAATGCCAAAAGCAGAGAAAGGTCAGTTTGCATTATGAATTTCATCCACTTCAAATCAAAATGTTAGTATTACAAGAACATATCCATTTCAAATCATTTTTAATATACCTCTATTGATGTTTTAAATTGTTTGTATTTAGTAGTATCAGCTGAACCATTCTTAATTGTTTTAAGTTGTGTTTCCTTTGATGAAATCCATCTTCGTAATTCAGAAAATCTGAAACATAGCCATAGAAGGATAAGCAAACAGTAGATGAGCAATACTGGTTGAATTAATGAAAAATGTTTCAAGGGAACTCAAGAAGCTAGCATCTGTAGTTTTGGGATAGCAAAAGATTTTAATCACTTAGGGAGGAATGTTGCTTGTTCAAATGGCTGAAAATTCCAAGTAAGTAAATCATAGCAATTTCCCAAACTAATCTAGATCCTATACTTCTTGCCCTTTGATGTTCTATTTAAAACAATTTAAAACATTAAGTGCTTCTGACAAGCAATATAGTATTTACAACATTAAAGGACATTGTAGTTCTACTTTGGTACTTTAAATCCATGCCTTCTATGTTGCAGTTCATGTAGTTGTTTACCTGTTCATGTATTCTTGCCATTTATCTGGTTGATCTATTAGTTTCATATAAGTCTGGGCAACTTGAGTTTTAAGTTCACTGAGATCTTTTTGGCTACTTTCAGATGTCATTTTAATTGGATCCCATTCTGGTAGTTTCAAGCACAATTCTTTAATCAGTTGCTGTCGTTTCTCACATAGTTGTAAAGGCCCTTTATCACCAAAAAACATCTGATGGCATAAAAGAAAAACATTTGCTCACTCCACTGATATAAAAATGAACTTTAAAAACCTAATTTCTACCTGGTATTCAAGAACTAAATACATTCACCATTTTTAAAAAATGTAAAAAAAATTGTCAATATACTTCATCTCTGTGAAGAAAATGACAGTGCTTCTCACCTTTTTGATTGTGGAAAAGTGTTTAAATTCCTTCAGTTTCAAGTAATCCAGAAGGCATTTTTTCCAAGCATTATTGAAAATTTATATTTAAGATAATTTTCCCTCTGTTAAAAATATCTAAAGAACTGTCTAATTGAATTTATCTGGGGATTTCATGAAAGATTTTATATGCAGTACAATACAATGCATGTCTCCTAAGAAGTAAGTTTTTCAAATTACAGCATTATTAAATCAGTATATGAATTGTGTTAATACTGAAAATGGTGCTTCAATTACCTAACAATAATAAACAAGTGCCACAGGAAAACAATATATTCTGGAAGATACATCAAGGTATCTGATGCTGTATTGTACAGATCAAGAAACAGCAATCTATTTTGTCAATCATATTTCAAAATGAATTTGGTTGTTTGCATGCATAAAAATTCTTGAAATAATGGTTAAGCCACTCAGAGTTGGGACGGGTGGCTGTAGAAATTGAATAAATAAATAAATAAATTACAAATTTCACTGTATCAGTTTGAATGAAACATGATATTTTAATTATAATATTTGTGAATCTAAGCTCTTATTGTTCCAAGTAAACATTGCTCGTAGAAGTTGCACAAATATGCTGAATAGTAATGTAGATGAAATTCTAAGATCAATACGCAATAGATCAATCACTACCATAAAATACTAAAAAAAATATCACTCACTCATATATCGTTTTTTTATACTGGAATCATAGGTATAATGCCAAGCAGAAAAATTTGGAACAGGACAGCAGTGTTTTCTATATTGCATATTCCTTTATTTTTACGGAGTCAAGGCAGATAACTAAATACAGAGGAAAAACTCCATGGTTATTTAAGGAAAGGGGTAGAATTACCTTGTGCTCCTTAATTATTTTTTCACTGCTCTCCTTGGTCATGAGCTCATGCTGGCGAGTGAGTTCAGTGTGACATTCTTGCACTATTGCTAGAAATTTGCTTTTTTCCACTTCTATTTTTAAGCGGAGTAAATGGTATGGAGCTTCTGACTGGAGATCCTGCATCATAATAAGAAGTGTGGGACGAAATTAATATAAAACACAGTTCTCTTTTTAAGAAATTATTTATAAAGGTATAAAACAAGGAAACCAACCAACACCAAACCAGATCATTAGTTTCAGAGGCGGTAACTAAGATGCTTTAACTTGTTTTTCTGAACAATTTCAGGGGAATAACTTTCAGTGAAAATATAATGTAATGTTACACCATAAAAAAGAACAGGAAAAAAAAGTTCATGCAAAATGCCAGCAGAAACAAGAAGTTTAAAACATGAAAAAATAATTGTGTAACCTATCACATTATGATAAAAATACTTTTTAAGATAAGTGATTCTTTTCTGATCTTTAATTAAAAAAACCTGGGTTGAGTAAACTTGTGAAAGTACACAAGATATTTTCATGTTGCTTGGACAGGAATAACTGAGAACAATAATTGCACAAGTGACTCTGTCTTCCTCTCACAGAATGGATTTTGTGGCTGTGTACTTTAAACAAGAAGAACTAGTTTGGTATAGTGGTTAAGGAAACAATCTAGAAACTAGGAAATTGAATATTTTAGTTCCACCTTAGGTACAAAGCCAACTGGGTGACCATGGGCCAGTCACTCATTTGGAACCCTAGGAGGCAAGCAAGGGCAAACTACTTAAAAAATCTTGGTATGAAAACTGCAGGAACTAGTCCAGGAGTCAACAGACTTGAGGGCCTACACACAGAGAAAAACAACTTATAACTAAAGCTGGTTGGCAAAACTCACCTTCCACTGCTTGTGCAATTTCCGCACAGCTTCCTGAAGGGTGTGTTGCTCTTGCTCAGGAAGGATGTCAGTAAGTTCATCACAAGCTTTCAGGAAAGCATTGAGCACCCTTTGGTCCAACTGACTGAAAAATTCCTGATTTTGAAATTTATCACATGTTTAAATGTTAATATTGTTGCTAAGGAAACAGAAGATTAATTCCAAAATTTTATACTATGTACTAATACAGGAAACTTGGATGGTATGATTGAGGTTGATCTTATGAATGATAACTGGTTGCAATTTATATCTGTGCTATTTTTTCCTTGAAAATCATGGAAGGTGTTGGGCACTGGCCACAGGAAGAATAGCAATAGCACTTAGACTTATATACTGCTTCACAGTGCTTTTACAGCTGTCTCTAAGCGGTTTACAGAATCAACATATTGTCTCCAACAATCTGGGTTCTCCTTTTACCAACCTCAGAAAGATGGCAGGCTGAGTCAACTTTGAGCCGGTTAGGATCGAACCCCTGGCAGTCAACAGAATAGCCTGCAATACTGCATTCTAACCACTGTGCCCCTATGGTTCTATAGTGCTAGATTATAAGAGTAGGGCTGGCCTAACCCTCTAATCATCCCAACCCATAATAAGAAGCTGCAATTTGGATGTAGATTTTTTTTCTTATGCAGATTATGAAGGCACTAAAGATCAGACAAAAGAGCAGAGTAGAGGATTAATACTGTACTCTGGATGTCTTGTCTGGTTTTATAACTAAGCAACCTCAGGCTCAATTAGCACTTGGATGGAAGAACATCAAAGAATATCAAGGCTTTCATCTAAACTGGGACTTTCAAAAGCATCCTGCAAGATGGCAATAAAATTCAATTCAGTATTATTACCAAGAAAAATTACACGGCTGTGTCCATTTAATAGTCACAGGAATGATGAATGACTTGAGGGTATCTAATTTACTGTATGTTCATAATTTACATTGTAAAGAAGTAAAATATTCAAGGACTCTCAAATTATACTCATAAACATTATTTCAAAACTTAACTGTATGTCAGCTTTCACAAACAGCCTAAATATATTCCTATGGAACAAATACATTAAATCTACACTTAAAAAAAAATTACCCTCTCAATAAACACACTGTAGAAACAAGTGCTTATTATTGGTATTTAAATCAAATAATTAAATTCAGTTAAATTAAATATGTATTAAAGCAAAAACAAACTAATTCCTGGTTTTTAGAGGAATGCTTTTGATCTCTTATTTTAACCTATAGGCCTGGTATCTCCAAGTAGTTTCCATCCTTCTGGCTTTTTTTGGCATTGACTATAGTTGGCTAGGTGTCACTACTTGCAATGCTATTTTAATTAGCAATATGAAATATAACAGAAATATGCCTTATGAAGTTATACTTACTGTATTTTTTCGGAGAAGTTCTTCAGGTTTGCCTTTTTCTTTTAGACAGCATTGGGCAGTCTGGAGAACATTTTCCAACTCTGTTCTAGATTCTTCAAATTTCTTCATCAGCCGACTATTTACCTCAACATTTTTCTTCCAATCACTGGTCTTCTGCACCATATCCTTTATAAATGAAAATGGGGAAAAATCCTGCAATGTTAAATTATAATTTACACTTGAGGAATAATATTATTATGTTTCTTTACTTCTGCTTTATCAAACTGAGGTCACATCCCTGTGCCCTCAGTATTATGAGAATGGAGAAATATCTTTTCATTTTCCTTCAAGATTAAGTACTATCTGAGGTCAACAGTACTATGCTGACTTTGCATGCAGTCTACAATCTCTTGGGAAAGTCTTCAAACTATACTCCAAAGGGCTTAAATATCTGGACTTTGAAAACAACAACCAAAATCTCTAGTTGCTATTTCCTGTGTTTTTCTGTAACATTTTGCCTCATGAGGAGTTCTTAGGAATAAAAAAAGCTTATGCAGTCCTTTTTATATTTTCAGGTGACATATATAAACAATCTCATTCCTATGAAATTGAATCTATGTTAATGTGAATGGGACCTAGAAATAATTGTAGTTATATGATTTCAATTTCTTAATTAGTGCACAAGCCAAGCTCAGATAGGATGTTGTTATTTAAAATTATTAGACATCATTACTATAACATCATTAAACATTCTCCCCTGAAAAATTAAGAGTAATAATTGTACCCCCCATAGCCTCTAGTTACATTCCTTTTAATTCATCTACTCACAGTAAATATTTGTGTAGCTTCAGCAGGACACAAATAAACAAGATAAACAGAAAGGAAGAAATTCCTTTGTATGGGGTCTGATGCTCACATCAAGTATAGATCACAGGGACCTTCAAAACATATTGTGGGCTCCAGAACAACTATCTGACTTTTTTCTTACATTGGACAGGCATTTATCTTCTTCTGCAACTGTCTCAGCAAGATCAACTTAACAGTAAAACAACTGAGTAAGGATTATACAAGAGAAATACTTCAAACACCTCACAGAACTCATCTTTTGTATAAGATGAATACTGCCAAATTACTGAAAGTATCACTGACCTAATATTTTTAAGCACTATAAGCAACCACACATAATTTCTATCTTAACTCCTTGTTTCCCCTAAAACTAAATTTGTATTTTTCAAAAAAAGGGGCAAACATCCATGATACCTTGTGCCTTTAGTTCTGCAGACCATGTCTTTGAAGTTGTTACTATCTGCATTGTTCTTTTCTATAATAACATTTATCGAAGGCTATTTTGAATTATTGTTTTAGTTTAGTTACTTTATCTTAATATATCTTAATCAAATTGACTTTTTTTCCACATTTTTTTTTCATGTTGGGAAATAATGTTAAAAATTTAGTGACATTGTTGAAATTGAAAATTACCTGAAAAGCAGCTTGAATTTCTACCACTTTTTTCTGAAGTACAGAAAAGCTGAAGTGATTTAATACTTTACTTGAAGCCAGAAGCTTTGTGATAATTTGACTATTTCTTTCAATTAATAACAGGGCTTTTTTGCAGTGTTCTTGATAAGCTACCAGGTCCTTTAAAAAGATGAAAAATATTAAAATAAGTATATTGTGGACAGTAAGGCAAACAGATTTAACAACTTTGCAATGTTTCTTTTATTTCTACTTTATTTTCTATAAAACAATATTTTTTCACCTGGTACAATAATGTTATGCTACAGCAACTACTTATTTAAAGGCTATGATTCCATACCCAGATAACATTTATTGCTTTGAATGATTCTTGAGAATTAGTACTGAAAGAAGAATTTAGCTTTGTTCTTTTAATGTATCATTTTTTTTGGGGGGGGGAAGTAATTATAGTTTCAATTGAAATCCACAAAATGCCAATGTCTACTTCCAGACTGACAAGTGTTCCTTACAAGTAATTAAACCCTAACATCTTAAACAGATAAAAAAATTAAAATATTATACACTGAGATGAAAAACCCCACACCTTACTGGTACATTAAAATATTTATTTTTAAAAAATATTTATTTTTTGGAATCTAAGTCATTTGAAGATTTGTAACTTCAGCAAAACAGCAAAAACAAAAGCAATAATTGCATATACAACAAACATATGTGTTAAAATATCTCAAATTCTTATTAGGAGTAATGTAAGGTATTATCTGGAGTAACTAAAAGGATAAATCTGAATCTTCAATATTAGAAAATCTAATTAGAAAAAAATTGCTTAGGGCCATGGATTATAATAGGGCCATGGATCACATACAAGTAGTTCTCAACTTGAGACCAGACTTATAGTCATAAGTCATTATGCTCATTAAATTACCATATACCATGCCCATTGTACAATGGTTGTTCAGAAAATGCTGCAATAATTAAGTGAACATGTTTTATTCAATGGGTGTTTTTGCCAACTGCAGAAATTAGTAAAACACATTGAAAATTGTGGTCATGGACAATGGGACACTGCAAATGGCTGTAAATATGAACCAGCTATCAATCACCCAAAATGTAATCAAGGGATGTGGGAAGGTGGGCCAGCCATTGGTCACTGGAACCTGAGCATAAGTAGCTCTGGGAAGGTCCAACATAACTTCAAATGTTGCTAAGGTATTGGTCATTAAGGAAGGACTACTTGTATACATATAAACATTTCGGAGGAATAAGAAAGTCTTCCAGACAAAAACACAATGTTGCTTTTAATTTTCTTTTGATTCTTAAAATAATGAAATACAAAAAAGGTTGACATCATGACCAAAAAACAAGAGATAGTGAAAGGGGACAAAAATCTTAAATATAATTTAGTGAGTAGAATAAATTACATGTGGCAAAAGAAACTAATCAGCAAATTAAAAGATTGATATAATCAAATGATATAATCATTTATCTTATCATTAAATTTAGACTATGCCATATCACACTGTGTCATTTTCTGATTTTTCAGAACTTAGAGACCTTTCAAAAACAGGCAACAACCTCATATTCTGAATCTTTTCCTTAAAATCAGGGCTGGAAATTTCTTTTAATTATCTAAAATGATCATCTACATTATATCCTAGACTCTAAAAAGAGCCATAGCTTTTCATGAGATTAGAAATTCCATGTTTTAGGAATATAATTCAGCATCACATTAAGAATCTTAATTGAAATCTTTCTTCCAAAAATCATAATATATGAAGTAATGCAAGTCTATAAAAGACAAGACCAAACCATGAGAGTTTTAGAATGTTTTTTTTTATATTCAATTCAATTTCAATTTATTACATTTATATGCCGCCCTTTTCCCCCGAAGGGGACTCATTGCCAGTGTAAGATGTCTAATGTCCATTCCTTCTTGTACATTCTTTGATAAGACAATAAAAACGAAACAGCATTTTCTGGTGAATTAACCCAATGTTTGAAAATATTAGAAATATATTCACATTTTTAACACCTGGAACACCGATTCTTCAAAACTGAGTATTCTAATTCCTCATTCAGTACCTCATAAAACTAAATTATTAGCTTGAAGTGCTATATCCAGGTACTTCAGAAGATGTTCAGAGGATGTTAATTCAGGTACTCCAGAAGATGTTCAAACATCCAGGTCATATGGGTTGATTTATATGTGTCTCAATTGTATATATTGGCCAGAGGATATTTCAGACAGATAAAATTTCAGCTAACAATTCTTACTATCTTTGGAAGTTCTCCCATAATCAAATCTTTCCTAGCCTCCTGAACTGCCAGAATTCGTATTTATGGGGACTTCTGCATGTTAGACATGGCAGTTGCTCCCATTCTATGCTCTCCCCTTTTCAACTTCCGGTTTAATACAGTCCAGTAAAAGGGAAATATGTAACTTGGAAATTACTTAAAATTTTGTTTAAAGATATCAAGTTATTCAAGATATCAATTATTCATACTATTTATTCATCCAAATAAATACTAAAACAAAACATATCCGGAGCACTTGCGTGAGAAATACCTGATGTTGCTGTTTAAAAACATGAGCAGGCTGGGCTTCAGGATCTAATACAGAAATAATTTCATTGATCTTGTCAAGAGATTCATGAAAATGTGTAATTTGTTTCTCTAATTCTTCAAGATGAGGAAGTAATTCTTGTGAATCAAAGAGTACAACTGGGCAGGTCTCCTTAACCTAATAGCAACAGAAATATTTTAAAAACCATGGATGAAAATGTAACACATTAGATACTATTGTGTGCGTTGATATATATGTGAGTACTTGTCTGTCTATATACACATGTACATATCTAATGAAAGCTAAATCTCTTCAGTATTAACGCAGTTGCTCAATTTTATGTTGATTTTCAAATGCAGGGAGTCCTCATTTAACAACCAAAATCAGGACCAGCAATTGTTGGTCCCGTTGTTAAGCAAACTTGCAACTATGCTTATGATCTTTCATTTCACCTTTCCTTTACTTTACAGACCTGTGGAAGTTGGAAATTCAAGGATTGGTCGTTACTTTTTCATCTCTGTCATCACTGAAAGTGATTGCTAAACGAGGACTACCTGTACAACCAATATATCATTGGGTATATTTGCATAAATAGAATGTTTTTCTTGTAATATCTAGTGATCATATATAGCAGTGTTTTTCAACCTTTTTTGTGCAAAGGCACACTTTTTTCATGAAAAAAATCACGAAGCACACCACCATTAGAAAATGTTAAAAATTTTTAACTCTGTGCCTATATTCAATATAGGCGGGTGTTTTTCCCACGGCACACCTTACACTATGTCACGGCACACTAGTGTGCCACGGCACAGTGGTTGAAAAACACTGATATATAGCACCCCTAGTAAAATGTTTGTCCTCCTTCTTTGTAGTTCCCACAAATTTGCTTTTGTGGGGGGAATGTATGGGTAAAGACTTCAGTGTATGTATAGAAAATATTTGCATAATATGCTTTTTGTTCATTTCAAGGTTTGCAGCCTTGTATATATTGATACTTATTCAATTTCTTCTTTTTCTGATTCTAGTCATCTTTATTTTCCTTTTGTTTTTCCAAAAATACCTGATATATGATGCATAATTGCAATTCCTAAAGGGGCAGGGTGGTGGCAGCAAAGATGGATAGAAGGAATAATGTCTTCTGTAAAATTGTTTCATATTCACATCTGAGAGAATATGAAATAAATTTAAGGAAGTCATTATTAGATAGAAGCAGTTGGAACATACTGAAAGTTTCCAGGCTAGCCCTAAAGGAACTGGGAATGACAGAATAATTAAATACAGCAAAGAAACATAAATCAATCCCACCCTTATCTCTCATATTAGAGGAAGGTAATTTAGAGTAATTTAAGAAATTACTTGAATAGTAATTACCTTGCTGAGCTGTCCTTTGATTCTCTGCATTCTTGTAAGCATTTCATTGACTTCTTCTTGTGGAATTTCCTTGGTAACCACTTGTGCAGTCCTTGTTATCATTTTGTACTGGGATTCCATAATGAATGCCTTTTGTTTAATATCCTGTAATATTTTTGTTCCAAATAATTATGTGTAAAAATGCAAGTCTTTTAAGAAATGGAGCTCAATCTCATATTATTTGTAGTGGAGAAGACTGAGCCTTAAGAATCAGCATCCTTTCTTTCTGTTGCATTAATTAATAGCGGCTCATATTAAATGCAACATACCATAACCATTTAAGCAGCATACATATTAGGTTGCAAACTTTGAAGATTTTTAATGCAATATTTTTATGAAATTATTTTATTAAAACATTCATTAAAGATTCATTTCTATGCTACTAAAATATATTTAAAAACACAATGTTGAAAACAATGTGTTGGATGGAGGTAACAATTCTATTTAAATAGTTCACACTGGAAATTTTTGTTTAACACTTAAGCACAGGGACAGGCACATGATTTACAAAAAATGAAGAATCTTAAAGTCACAGCAGGAAAGTGGTACAGCAGTTAAGAGAACTATGAGGATATTGCCAATGTCCTTAAAAATGCTCTTAATCCAAAAAGCAGAACAAGAATATACAGCAGTGCTACATAGAAATAATGCCCAGCTTCTAATTAACTTGCCTCCATTTCTTGGACAAATAACTTTACATTTAGAAAGGACACTTCTAAATGTGTGTGGATTTTCCTCTTTACGTCATCAATGAAAGCAGACAAGGCAGCCACTCCATCCAAATATTCCTTCTTTATTCTGTCTAATTCATCAGCCCGAGCATACTATGAAAGCACAGAAAATAGATAAAACAATATAGAAGTAAAGAAAGGTCAGCAGAACATTAAGCACAGAAGGGACAAAAGTTTACATTCCATTCAACATAATTCTATAGCGCTCTTTTTATGAAATGTGGGCTTTTCTTTTCACACAGAAAATAGAATGAGTGATATACAAATCTTAATTTAAATTTAAAAATTAAATAACCTATTAACATAATGCTGTGCAACAGTGGCTTGTAACAATAGGAAGAAAGTCTCCGAGGACATACTTGTTTAACTTGCATAAATAATTCTCTCCATCGTCCATTTAGCAAGAGCAATTGTTGTTTTAAATCTCTGGAAACGGTCTCATCACATGTTTCAATCAGAAAATTACCAGCATCATTCATTGCAGTATGTTGCTGAATCCATTGTGGTAAATGTCGGAAGAAATCCTAGGAAGAACAGAGGTAATATTGCTGAAAAAAAGTTGTACATCACACTTATATGAATGTTTAATTTCCCCCAATTTCCTCTTATCAGAAGCATGCAATGATCACTCTATCCTTTATGCAAATTATTTCTCAGAAAATTAAACCACCTTTTCTGCTGTGGCCCCCATGCTATGAAATGTTCTCCCCACCAACATGAAATATAAATAAAATAAATATGTCACCTTCTCATTTGCATGGAGACTCAGTTTACAGATGTTGCAAACAATGTTAACTATTCTGCATTTCCTATTTATGTACACCTGTTCCTTTAAGGACCAGTTCCATGGGAGAGGTTTTTCCATGGAGCAAAGGGTGTGTGGTTTATGGATGGATCATTCCCTGTTTACATGGCCTTGCTTCTGGCATGCCACGGACAGTGCTGGTCCATGGACTGGGGGTTGGACTGGGGGTTGGAGATCCTTGATATATATCTCAGCAATGCATCTTCTGTTATATTGAGCAAAGGCACTTCTCCCTGCTTCTACAAAAAAAACCCTCTTCTTCATTTACAGGCAAATAGAAATAGGCATTTGGAATGTAACACAACAGTTTTTTTTCTAAGATGGGATCTCTGCCAATTTGTCTTAAAGATCAAATGCAAGCCCTTTAAAGTCTTGTCTGAATGTCAATAATTCTAGCTACTAAGGTCACTGGATATGGGTCACGGTGGCTCAGTGGTTAAGTGCTGAGCTTGTCAATCAGAAAAGTCAGCAGTTTGGCAGTTCAAATCCCTAGCTCCAGGTAATGGAGTGAGCTCCTTTACTTGTCCCAGCTTCTGCCAACTTACTTGTAAAAATGCAAGTAGAAAAATAGGGACCACCTTTGGTGGGAAGGTAACAGTGTTCCATGTGACTTCAGCATTTAGTTATGCCGGCCACATGACCACAGAGATGTCTTCGGACAGCACTGGCTCTTTGGCTTTGAAAAGGAGATGAGCACTGCCCTCTAGAATCAGGAACGACTAGCACATGTGCAAGGGAAACCTTTACATTACCTTTTAGGGTCACTGGTGAGAAATAGTGAGAGGTGACATATAGCAATATTTAGTGGATCACAGGTTGCATATACCTTCCCTAAATACTTTGAGTCTAAGATACTTTAACAACTGTATCTCCTATATAAAAAGTGCTAAAATGTATGATATTATCAAGTGGGTTTGCTTCATTTTATACCAGTTACTGAGCATGAAGACAGGGTTTTTTTCAGTCTGCTTTTTAGCATATGAGCTAAAGGCTGAGGCTTGGAGAAAAAGAAGGAAGTAATAGTTGCGGGCCCCTTCGGCCAATTATTCTGGTTAGTGGAGTCCAGGAGAAAGGCCTTCTCTGCCGTTGCACATGGAACATCTTTTCTCTGAATGTGAGGTTGGCTCCAACATTTCATAATGGCCTACAGGTCTGGCTCTGCAAGTTAGCTTGAGGCCCCAGTGGGGGAGCATCATAGTGGAGGTGATTGGTTAACAACAGGTTCCAGCTGCCCCCTCCCCCATCCACTCTCCCAATTTGTAATTGGATTGTAACATTTGCCCTGGTGGCACAGTGGTTAGAATGTAGTACTACATTACTATAGGCTAACTCACTGCTCACTCCAGGAGTTCGATCCTGATCAGCTTGGTTGACTCAGCCTTCCATCCTTCCGACGTCAGTAAGATGAGTACCTAGATTGTTAGGGGCAATAAGGTGTGTGTGTGTGTGTGTGTGTCTGTGTGTGTGTCTCTGTGTGTATCTTTTATGACTGTAAGCCACCCAGAATTACCCTGTGGTAAGATGGGTAGCCAATACATTTTTTAAACAAATAAAGAAAATAGTGGTAGTCATATTTCAGAAGTAGAAGTTTAGTGGGTTATGTTGACACAGTTACTGCCTCACAGTTCAACTGCCCCACAGTTCCTGCATATAAATCTAACAAATACATGGTAGGGTACTTACCTTTTTAGCATGTTCAGGTTGATTCAACATTTTTTCAGCATCTTCCAGCCAGGCTTGCAGAATGGCGACTGTATTGCTATATCGATCCCAGTTAGAAATGACTTCTTCTAACATACTCCGAACACTTCTCACTTCAACTGACAAGTGCCTCCACTGTGTTGTTGTATCATTCATGAACTTTGTAATGTTCTCTATTTCTTCCGCTGAAATAGAGCACTGAGGCTTTAACATAAATCTTGCATCAAATGAAAATCCCAATATAAAATAACATTAAGAACAAACAAGCTCTAGTAGTAATACAATCTTAATACAAATAATTAGTACAAGTACAGTTTAATGTATGTTATTTTAGTGACTCTTTTACTTAAGTAAGTAAGGCAACATTGACATCATCCCTAGCCATACAGCCATTGTGAGAGTACAGTGAAGCTAACTGGCAGTAGCTTATTTATTGCTGATAAATGTACCATCTTTACTATTAAATGTAATCTTAAAACAAAGAAACAAAAGTGTGTCTTTAGTTACATTACACACCCACACACAGACGCACACACACTTCTTCAAAGTGATCAATATTGATCTCCAAGGGTCAATGGGACTATCCAAAGGTTTGATGTTATTATTAGTAATTTATTAATTTTCATATAATAAACACTTGGGGATTGATTAACAATCTAAAATTTCATGAAGGAGTCAATGAGCTGAAGAATCTGAAGATCCCTGACATGCATGCATAAATATTTAAGCATAGCAGCACCTTACTGCTGCCCTGTGAAATATTGGGGAAACAAAGTCCACTGTGATTAAGCATTCCTCCTAGATTATAAGGGGCCTTAGTACCTAAATACACAGTGCATTGTATTGGAAAGCCACTTTGCAAAGTGAATTGCCATGGGAAAAGTTCTAAAGGAGCTAAAATATCTGCAGCCAGAAGGTTTGGCATGGCTACTCCAAATATTTTCTCTGGTTGCCTTCACACACCATTTGCTTCACTGGTGGCCCAAATGGAGGCATTATCTGTGCAAGGGTACATCTGCAAAGGTAACTGGGATAGTCAGTTGTGATGGTGTAAAGCAGCTGTGATGAGTCTTCAGGGACACCCACTGATTTAACACATCATAAAGTAAAGCCAGTCAATTTTGCAAAGAAAGCCTTTTAAATGCTTTGACAATCTATACTGTTCTTTCCCAGCCTGAGGTAGAACATTTGTGGCTGAAATGATTTGACTCATTGCAGAGATGGGATGAAGAACATGGGCTTCATACTCTAAAAGGGTGGTTGTGGGTGATGAAATAAGAAAACAGGAAACAGAATAAACAAACTTTCGAAGTGGAAATTAGATTAATATTGAAATCAATATTGATACACACCATAAAAAACTACATGAAACCTAAATATTTTTTATGTAATTGGGGCATTAGTACGGCATTCAGATATGTACCCTAGCATGGTTAGAAATTCCACATCCATAAAGAAGAACGTTAGAAAATGTTTACCACGTTAGGAAAGGATCATTGCTCTAAAATGTCTTCATGTGGTTATTCACATCCTCTGCTCTCATACACACGGCTTCCAATTTTGTCATTTTTCAAATTGCTTAGCAACAGCTCTACTTGATCTAACAATAAGAATAATGCTGAACAAATAGACTTCTACTTACGTGAGCCATTAGCATTGGCATACGTCTCAGCTGCTTTTTTCAAGATCTGGTATGTAATTTCATACTGCTCAAAAAATTTGTTGTTTTCTATAACAGTCTGAAAAAGGAGAAAAATGAAATCTCCAATAAGATAAGAAAACAGCCTTTAAAAAGCTTACTATACCTATTTAGCTTTTCTTACAGGTTCATCTTCCAGATCTTTTTTTTTTAAACACAAACACACACAGACACACACACACACACATATATATAAATAAAACTTTTTATACATTTTATCTTTCACTTTGAGAAAAATATGTGCAAAAATGCCCCTGATATTAACCTCATTGTCACCATGTCCATATTAATTATAAAAAAGTACCTAAGGATGATGTGGAATTATAACAGAACAAATTAATCTATGAAATCCAGTTTGGGCTAGTAATCAAACCGTTGACCTGGGGCCATGGAGACCTGCTTTGGATAGAAAAGTGTCATTTTCTCTCAGCCCTAGGAAGAAACTGCCTAGAAAACTGCAGGAACTTGATATAGTCACCAAAAAGACAGACTCAAGGACAAAATAATCATCATCATAGGACAACTTAAAGAAAAGCTGACCAATGATCAGTTTTGCTCATGAAGGTCAATGAAGATGTCAACAAGCAACCAGGATGCCAGGCAGAGAAACCTACAGGATGAATCTGAGATTATCTAGAAGGCGAATTATGCCTTATTACTAAATAAGTTTATCATACACAATCTACCATATTTTTCGCTCCATAAGACGCTCCTGATCATAAGATGCACCTAGGTTTAGAGCAGTGGTAGCCAACCTGGTCCCTACCGCCCACTAGTGGGCATTCCAGCTTTCATGGTGTGCAGTAGGGGTTTTGTCCGATACTGAAGGACTTTCCTTTTTAAAAATTTAATTGACTTTTTTTTAAAAAAATCGTAGCATTATTTAAAAACATTTTCATTAGGTTTTCATAAAATCACCATTACTGTGGAATCGGTAGGTGGTTAGAAAATTTTACTACTAACAGAGATACAAAAGTGGGCGGTAGGTATAAAAAGGTTGACTTCTCCTGGTTTAGAGGAAGAAATCAAGAATAAATATATCTGCCTCTGCCTCCCAGCGTCCATCCAGTATTCATCTGGCTAGCATCCTTGCAGCAAACGGCAAACAGCCTGCCTCTTCCGTGTCTGCTGCCTCCTCCAGGCAACACCTTCACAACCGAGCAACTGATTGACGGTTGGATCAGCCACGTGGAATACCGCAGATCAGCTGTTCCATGCGGCGGGGATCGCTGCCGCCATTTGCTGCTGCTGCCTGTCACCCATATTCGCTTCATAAACACACAAACATTTCCATCCACTTTTGGGGAGAAAAAGTGTGTCTTATGGAGAGAAAAATATGGTAATTATAATTCAGCAAAACTTATGTTTGATTGCTAGGTTCCCAAGTCTGGACTGCAAAATTAGAAGAGAGTAAACAGTAGCAGTTTTCTGTATCTCTTTGTTAACGTTAGTGGTCATCCAGATATTTTTTCAGATTGGTCTTTTAAACGGAGATAAGAATATGTTTCCTTGTCCTGATGAGTCCATAGGCCTTACAAACAAGATACAAAAAGTATGACATTATTTCCCAAGTGTTCGTGTTTTTAAAATGAAAATACCTTTAATAAAACATACAGTAGCTAATGCAGCAGTCATTTGGCCTTATGATCAATTGCACCTGAACCTGTAAGATGGCCTTAACATTGATTGATTGGCTCAGGATACAAATGCTCACAAAAGACAAATTAGCCAGACTGACACAGATACAAAATCAAAAAAGTTGTTATGAAGCCAGAAAAATCAAAGAAAAGAATATCCAGGAGTGGTGGAGGATGATGGTAACAAATCTATAAACCTACAAAAAGGACCAGTCACTTATTCTAATTCCATTGGACCAATTCAATAGTTTATCCTTTCTCCATTTAAGAGCTGCATTCCATTCCAACAACTTAATTGTTAAGCAAAATGGTTGCTAAGTGAACATATGACTGAGAGAAAGAGAGAGAGAAAACTGATGTTATGTAGATCACTGGTTAAAGGTAAAGGTTCCCCTCACACATACATGCTAATCATTCCCAACTCTAGGAGTCAGTGCGCATTTCCATTTCAAAGCTGAAGAGCCAGCGCCGTGGTCAGGTGGCCAGCATGACTAAATGCTGAAGGTGCAAGGAACTCTGTTACCTTCCCACCAAAGGTGGTCCCTATTTTGCTACTTGCATTTTTACATTCCTTTGAACTGTTAGGTTGGCAGAAGCTGGGGCAAGTAACGGGAGTTCACTCCGTTACACTAGGGATTAGAACCACCGAACTGCTGATCTTTCTGATTGACAAACTCAGCATCTTAGCCACTGAGCCACCATGTCCCTTTAACTGGTTGCTGTGATCTTATTCAGATAAATGAAACTTTGCTCTCTCATACAGTGTGCTGTGTGTGACCCTTTTTTTGCCTTTCACAGGGTGGAAGTGTTGGTTAAGCTATCTTTTCTTGGGCTGTTTTTCTCTGCAGCACAGCACTTCCTTAAAAAGACCTAACCAAATTTTATAAACTCAGCTCTGTGACTTTAATTAATGGATTAGAACCCTCCTGTCAGCTCCCATTGCAGCCTGAAACTCACCAGATATTAATCAGTTTCACACGGAACCTGTTATCAGGCAGACAAAATTTGGTTTTAAATGCAGCATTGTTTAGAAAATGAATTGTTTTTTTTCCTGATATCCGTGAATGGTTGCTAGTTAAAGTAGTTGCTAAATGAGAAGCAGTTGAGAAGATTCCTGTGCATAAATTTTTAGCAATAAATCAGTTAAACTGAACCTTCATACTTTCCACGCCTGATATCCTCTTAAACCCTCATACAAAAGCTAATCAAAGCATATGAGCCTGCATCTTAAGTCCTTCTCTTTCCCAAAGTTCCACAGCAAAGTTCCACAGCTCCAAACTTTTCCCCTTCCCAACAGCTTAATTAATAAAGAAGGTTGTTAGTAGCATGCAGTCTAATTTATGTAATATATGGTTTATCCCTAAGGCCACAGGAAGGCAAGAGCTCAACCTAAGGAACAGGTTTCACACCTGTTTTGTGCACTTTTAAACCATACTGACACAGATAAACATTAATATAAAGATATTTTAAATCAATCTGAAATATTTATTTTTAATATCTAAATCAGTTGCAACAATAAGAAAATAAAATTAGCCTTTTCCTTTGAATATATTTGGCAAAAAGTTCAAAGCAAGCTGAAGTTCAAAGTGATAAAACAATGCATACTTTGTGGCCAGAATAAGATTTATGGAGTTCTTCAGCATTCATTTCTTTGAACAAACATGGTTCTGCTTTGTAACAGATTAACCTTATCTGATTTGGAAAACTCTAGATATCAACATAAACTTTAGTAATCATAGATCATTAAATAATTTGTTATTATTCACCTGGCACTGCAGCTGTGTCATCTACTTATGTCAGACAGTTCTTGAAAAATATGCAATGGTTACAATTTTGCATTAAAATATCCCAAAATTAAGAGGCCAAAATATTAGTGAAAATATCTATCAGCAATGAGAAAGCACTAAAGGAAAATTTAATTGCTACTATATGATTAATAGGAGAATGACACAATAATATATGACTTTTAAAGTTCCAAGCTATTTTTTAAAACTGATTTAAAGAGGCCAAGCTGCAAATGTGTGAGATCTCTAAAATATTAATTATACAACTCTGAAAAGCAATATTTCTAATTTCTCCATATGTATATGCATGAGAAGAATATTTCTTTGTTTTATATTCTGTTAAACATTCAGTTTTGCAGCCTGAAAGACCAGGAGCCCATGAATTCAGCCCATAGCAGGAGATAGACTGGAGCCTAATAGATTTCTGGATTTTCTTCCTTCTTTCCATTCTTATAATTACATTTTATCTGATACAGTAAAATGTTTTAGAAAACTTGAAAAGTTGCATATTCTTTAATATTGCCTAGATTAAGACACTACCCAACTGTGTCTTTGGGAATTATATTGCCTACTGCTTTAAAGAAGAACAGAATAATAGAGTTAGAAGGGACCTTGGAAGTCTTCTGGTCCAACCCTCTGCTCAGGCAGGAAAACTCTATACCATTTCAGACAATCTCTTCTTAAAAACATTCGGTGTTGACGTATTCACAACTTCTGGAGGCAAGTTGTTCCACTGTCCTCCAAAAGAGCTAATAACTAATTGAAGATTTAAATGGTTTCAGTCCATTTAGAAGGCCAATTGAATGGACCAAGTAAGTATAAATAAACATACTCCTAAGCAAGTTTTTAGTTCATGTTAATTCAAGTAAGTGCTCAGCAAAATCAATGGAAATTAAATTGTTTGCTATCCTGCTACTTTACCTAACTTATGATAAATGGCATTCAATATATGGAGCAGTTACCATACTGGAAGATTAGGCATACCAGACATGTAATGTCATCTTTTGCAAAGGTTGAGCTAGTTAAATACTTTCTGCACTGACTGACAGCAGCAAATTAAATTTTAAGAAGAGTACAGGTGGTCCTTGACTTATGACAACAATTGGGACTATAATTTCCATTGATAAGAAAGATGGTAAAGTAAGTAAAGTAAAGTTAAAGAAAGTAAGGTTCTACTTAGGCAAGAAAAACAAAATGCACAAGTGCAGTATACAGTATATGGTATCTTGCTCAATAGTAGTAACTGTGAGAGGGATCTTAGAAACC